GTTGCGTCACACCTCAACCTGCCTCAAATGGATCATTAATTTAATTAATATCTTACTACAAAGCTCCGTGTAGTTTTACAGTGCCACCACTAGGGGGGTGGACCCCCCACCCTAGGGTACCGCTGCACACAAAAAATTGTGAAATGCATACACTTATTGGCCCATACCAATATATTTAAAAAAAAACACTAATATCCACAAAAAGTATTGGCTGATGGATGTATCAGTTTATTATTAATTTGGATGTCTTCAGGCTTACACCTGGGGTCCGTTTCACAAGCAGGTTTACTGAAAACTCTGTTCTCTAAACCTAAAATACGGCAAGATTTTCCTGTTTCATGAAGAGAGTTTCCTCAGCCTTTGTTTCAGTCACCGTACTAAGTTTCTCCCCAGAGCTAACCTGGTCAGCAGCAGGTTTTCTTCAGTAAACTCAGGGTGTCCTCTGACTCCGCTCTCCTTAGAGTCAATCACGCTGTTTTATTTACTGATTTAGTCAGATGTTTGTCATAGTTTTGTGAACAAAAAAATAAATAAATTCACAAGGTTCTTTTTAAAAAAAGCGAACATTGCATGTCTGTTTGACGAGGATCTTATTAAAAAATGATCTGCATTTTTTTCACAGAGAATTAAATATTTATAGGGAGAGGATTCTACAACTGGGTTGTCAGGATATGAGATGTATTTGTTTTTAGTTTAGTTATTTTGAGTGACATGTGGATCATTTTATTTTAATTCATTTATTTTTACAAGAACGAAGAACTACTGAAATGAGCTTCAGATTACACATAAATAGATTAATTAATTCTGCAGGGGGATAACTTTAGCGCTAGAAATGTGATAACAACCTACTAAGCCTACTGTCACAATCTGAAGCCATTCGGAGAATTCTGAGAACCACAAATAACAACCATTTATTGGGATGATAACATCCAAAGCACTCTGTGTAATGGAAGACAGAATCACACTGAGAACCCATGACATGATGAACAGGTTCTATCTATTAGAACATCGTTTTTATTCTTCATCTTCACCTGCTGCCTGATTATTTCACCTAACTAGATGCATTGATCCACTACTATTCAAGAAATAAACTTGTGATCACAACAGCCTATCACAAGCTGTTTTGTTATGTATTCGTTTTACTGAATATGTATTCCTGATATCTGAAAAAAACTTTATTTCTTGTCTAAATAAATATTTCAAACAAAATGACATTCATCACATCTAGAATAAACATTCTGGAAATCTAGAAATTAATTTAATCTCCATGTTCCTATGATTACTGGTCACCATTATTATTATTTTGACTGTGAAGAAATATATTTCAGTTATCATAAATACATATAAAATCAAGCTGATAAATGTCAGAATGGCCACTTAAAATGTGTAAACATTTCTAGATATATAAAACTTAAGCCATACTAGTATAATTAAACTTGTCATGCATGCTCAACTCTGAGTGGACCTACTTGAAGTTGATTGAACTAATTCATAGCAACTGTTGTGAAACTGGAAACTCAGAGTTCCAAACTTTCGGCTACATTAAATTAGAGTTGCGGATTCGAATCAGAGTTTGTTAAACCTGCTTAGTGGAATGTACCCCTTTACTGTAGTTAATAGTTCTACAACATTCTTTGGCTCAGTTTAGGTCAACAGACCAAACATTGACTTTCAGAAAGTTTTAAATGTGAGTCTGTTATCCTATAACTTTACAAAGTCCCCCTCTGAAAAGTACTACATTTTTGATATATTAAAGGTACTCAATAAAAAAACTTACAAACTCAAAAACTTGTGCAAGGCTGATCCACTAAACAAACACAAAAATGTGAATGTGACATAAGTAAGTTCCTTCCTGATATTGCAAAACAAATACTGATCCTCAGAACCTGCAAAACACCAGGAGGATATGCTAACGTATTCCCTTAAAACATAAAAATGCAATTAATCAAACCGGCAATAGGTTTTAGATGCAGATTTTGCATCTATATACTAGTACAGCATATAATTTACCCAGCAAAGCCATTTTCAGCTGTGGGACTATGATTCCAGTCTATCATCACTTAACTGCACAGCATTCTTATGCCTACAGGAGCAAGAAGATCCTCAATAAAGCCAAGAAAAAACTAATGCAGTTAATAATTTTCTGCATTGTGTTCCACAACATATTGGGGAAAACACACAGTAGGACCATTTAATGTCGGACCAAATAATGCAGCTGGAATCCAACCAATCTTTGTGCAATTAAGCAAAACAAAAATGACAAGACTGAACAAAAAGTTGAGGTGGGTCATTTTACCTTCAGAGTTATAAAACTTTTACAGGATTGTACTTTCCATTGCTCTGGATTTCATTAAGTTTTAAATCTGACATGAAAAAACATAAAGTTGGTCATGTTTGGCTTTTGGTATCTACTGAAGCAATGCTTTTTGGACGGAAACATCAGCTACAAAACATCAAACCATGGAGAGCAAATCTAAATGTGAATGTACTTAGAAACAAGCCTTTTTGATAACTGGCGCCCACACAATTTACTTTTAAAACTCCACCACTGCAGTCCAGGTGTCGCTTTAATGCCGTAAACATCAGTGAGTGAGACAGACTCTTATTGTACTGGTGGGAAGCTGTGTGGGGGAGTGTTACCTCTTGGCCAGTCACCAGCAGGATACTGTCTTCCTTTCCATGTTGAACTTGTCTGAAAATGTGATCCAGGATCAGAAGTTCAGACCAGCAGTTGTGCAGCAGCTTCATTTGATCTCCCACCTTCAGAAAAACAGAGCAAAGCAAATGTCAGAAACTCTGACCTTATTTAAAACAGCTCAACTCGCCTTTCTTTTAAAATCCTCTCAGTAAAACTGCTAAGAATCCGAACTTATATTTTTACTTTCTGTCATCCAAGATACTTAAACACCTTATGTGGTTAGAAATTACTGTAAAATGAGCACAGGAGCTGGTGATGATACAGCAGTAAATTAAAGGTGGTATGTGTGTGTGTGTTGTCTGATGTTGGGTATTTATGAGATTTGACCTCTACAACCTGCTAACCTTAATGTTCCTACCTTGAACAGTCACATCTGTGCAGCTCTGTTTGGGGGATGAGTTTGTGTTTGTAGATTAACCCCACCCCATGGCAGTATTGACAGAAAAGCGAAGGACACGGCAGACAGTAATTCTGCAGGCACAGCTGCTAATAGGCCCAGACACACATTCATCTGACACAAGATGACAGAATTACTGTTCATATGAATGAAACTATATATCAGGGGCAGTGAAGACTGTCCAATCTTCTTTGCTGCACTCATCTAGGCCGGTGAAGTGGTTTGGGTCTGCATGTGCAGTGATAAAAGGAAGGGGTTAAGGAAGCAAGAGGTCTTGGTGACCTCCTCTGCTTCCTCTCCAAAAGGAGTTGGAGGCAGCCGCAGAGATACTTGGAAAATAAAACCTCAAACATACAAGAAGCAGGATTTAGAACGGCTTTATTTTGTTCTCCATATGAAATGCTAATGTTTCTGACTCTCCATTTCTGATACGTGTTAAACTGGCTTTAAATACAAATAAAATATCCTACCTAACAAAACTGAATGGATGGATACATGATTCAAAAGAACTGATCTATCAGCAAAGGATTTCCGGTTTATTGAAAAAAAATCTATGCAGCAGAAATAAAGGAAAAATAGCAAGCAGCAACTTTCCAGTACTATCACATGCTTTTTATTTTAGTTTGTCCCTTTAAACTCAAAATGCATTTTTACTACTTTACAAGAAACCACAACTTCTATGACTATAACTTTAAGAAGCATCAGTACTTAGAAGCATCCTCATAAAATAATGCAACACTTTGGCACAATTTTTTTTTATATGCTGGAACTAAACATTATATTCAAGCTCCAATATGACTAAAAGCTGGACCTGCAGATGACAGAAAGGGGAGCTGAAAGGATTACAGTTCCCGAAGCCTCTTCCTTCTGCACAAGATTTCATGTTTGCTGCAAGAACTGATCTCTGAACATCCTCACTAACTGCTGACACCCTTCACATCTATTTCTTTTTTAAGCTACCAGCAGTAGGCTACAGTAGGCTACCAGCAGTAGGCTACTGTTCAAAGGCAGAACTAGTACAGCACAGAGCGTTTTTTGTCTTAAATTGTTGAAATACTGAACTGATGTTAGGACTATGAGGCTTACACAACAGAACTTAATGTTTTATTTGTTAGAACGTTTTAGTGTTTTGATTTTGTTTAATATTTTTCACAAAATATGACAGGTCTAAAAAAAGAACACACATTTTTGTTATCTGCTATTTAGCTTTCAATTAATAAAGTGCTCTAATAAACTTTATTACATTTAGTTATGCACACAGCATAAACCTGCTGAAATTAGAGCATTAAATGCAATATTTGGAATTCATTTTCAAGTTCAAAATATCAGAGTAATATTTGACTATTTGGAAATTCCAAGGAAGAGAAAGTAAATAAGTACGGCTAACTCTGACCGAAGCTTCCTCACTTCAGCAATATTTGTTTTCATTCAACAGCTCATTGTAAGCTCAAACACCAAAGAAAGACAAAGGCCACTTCTGAGGATCCGTCAGTTGCTTCCATTTTACAAACTATTTAACAATGTAGGCAAGCATGAAGCAAAGCTGCAGCAGGGGCTCACATTCCCCTGTTATCATTTGCATGGAATGTAATTATCCAGCACAGGGAAAAAGCCATTTCAACAGGGGCTGTTCTTGGCAAAATACACACAGTTTTATTCTCACAGCTTTGGCTGTGTATAAAAATGGTCAGGCTGTCAAAAGAAACACGTCAGATGCATTTAAAAGAAGGTTTTTAATTCAAATTTCAAATAATTTAAAGATCATGTGCAAAAAAAAGAATAAAAGTCAAGTGCTCATGGGAATAAAAAGATAAAGACTAGTAGAAACATATAGTATTTTATTGAAATGCTCCAGTTCTCTTCTGTCTGTACATGAAATAATGAAATCTACCAACATTTAAAACCTTACCATTTTTGTATTTGCTACCTTGTGTTGTTCTCCTGCTGCTACTTATGTCCTTTTTGATTCAGAACAACTTGTTTTAAAACCTAGAAGCAACCATTAATACAGTTTTTAATGATTTCATATACCACAGTTTTGGGTCAGCAGTTCTGCTAAGCTGCTGTATTTCTCTGCCTCTGGTTACAGAGGGGAAATGTATCCCTTCAACACTTTTTGTACAAAGATACCTTTTTGTGTTTTTATGAGAAGGTGAAACAATTATCAGTCCCAACATAATGTGACCTTTGTTTCTGAGACAAAGAACATGCAGAAGTTACAACTACAACAATGCAATCCCTGTAAAAATGAAATATCTGTCAACAGTTTTATCAAGTTTGGGGATTTTTCGGGGGATTGAAAGGTGATAATAAATATCTTTTTATTTATTAGCAGCTGAAAACTGTTGGGAAACTAAATGAATGCAATTTTAAAAATTTTCCTAGCAGCATCAAGAGGGAGATTGGCTCATTTGTGGGTATTCTGAAAGAACAGGGGAAAAAAGTGAGATCCAAAAGGTTTCTAACCACCTTGTCTCCAACGATTAACATCATAATTCCTAATATTTCAGAAAAAAAAACAAAATCAGTTCTAACATCTTGATAGCTTTTTACATTAAACAGTTTTTTTTACCTTCATAATCAACTACAAAATTAAATAAGCATCTGTATTGCATCTAATGTTATGACTGTCCTATGAAACAAAAACAAATAACCAAAAACCTCCAAGATGGGCAATATTGCACAGCCAAACATTTAAACTTCTTCATGATAACATCCTCTAATAATTTGTATGTTTCAGAATATGAGGGTCCTGAAATGAGCCTCAGGTGTAAATATACACTTGTGCATGAAAGTTTACATAACCTTCAATTAAAGACAGAAAAAAAATCAGCTGGCTGTAAAATAAATTGAAATTGACAAAAGTAATTAGAAATAAAAAATGGAAATCATGACACTGACTTTAAATATACATATGTTTATATTAGGAAATGTTGAACCAGACTTTTGCATCTGTGGGACTGTATGTTGGTTCACTGTTCAAGAGCAAGATACTTTAATTTGTCTGTCTTCATTCTTTTTTAGAATCATTTTTTAACATAAAATTGAAAATGAATTATTTATTTTACTCAATTATCATTTAGTACATTTTTATTCTTTATTAATTTTTCAGTTTTGTGTTATTAGAATTACTACTGAGAAAGTATAATTTTCTTTAAAGGGAGGAAATGTAAACTTTTAATCACATGTTGAACGAAAAGAGCTAAATTCTGAAGATTCTGAGCAACCAAAAGATTCCCCATCCCACAGAGAAATGTATGCAGGTAAGCTTTACTGCTTGTGTCTCTATAGATGAACATTATTAGCTGTACATTGTTTATTGTTTCCAAGATTTGCTCCAATATACAGGGAAAGCATTTAAATACAGCTTTGTTCTGTTTTATTTTTGTTTTCCTTTTTTGCAGGTTTGGTTTAAGAGATTGCTGCTGCAAAGTCAGCGTCACAATGACCGATGTCATACACCAAACAGTCATAGAAAACAGGGATTAAAGTGTTCCAAGTGTAGGGAATCAAATAGAGTTTCTGACAAACAATTCCAGTGATCTGAACCACAGACCAAGGAAAACTCAAGAGCAGCATTTTGCAATTGCAAATTAATGTTATCATACTGATTTTTATACAGCAGGATTTGTATTAAAGTCTGCAGTGTCTTCAATAGGAGCAAAAGGCAACAAAACAAACTGGCAGATGACACCAACAGAAGTGTCTGGTAAAGAGGTAATGAAACAAAGCTCATTTTAAATGCTGGCAAGGGGATAGAATGTCTAAAGAGAAAAATGCATGTAGCTAAATGAGAGGCTAAACTACGGAGCTAATTAAATGTGAGTATTTGACACAAAAATGAACATGGGGGAAATAAACAGGTCCAAAAAGGATCTTAATCAACCAAAACACTTAACTCTAAATCAACTCTTCCAAATCAACACATAAAGAACAGAATGAAGAAGAAGAAAGAATCTCATCAAAAATACATAAACAGTGTATGGAACACCACTGATGACAAAAATCAACAAACTGAAAATACATCAAATACAAAACCTACTGACAATCAAACTACAAAAACCTGTAGATCATGGAGTTTTACAAACTATATTATAAACAAAAAAATTCAAGCTAAATAAGTTAACTAAACTGTTTTTTTTTTTGTTTTTTTTTTGCCAGACCAAGAATGTAATAAAGAGAAACAACAAGTTTAAAATGTCTTTTAAAATGTCTCTAACATTTGGAGAGCCCTCAGTTAGAATTTTTTAAACTTATTTAAATTTTTTGAAAAAATAACAAGAATTAGATCATGTTGGGTCTTTTTTTGGGAGGTGAGTTAATATCATTAGTTAATCTATTTAAACTTGGCTGGCATAAACAACCACAGCACTGACCGTCTTTGTTACAAAAGGATGTTATCATCCTGGCTGTCATGTAAAGACAGGACCGATACAGGCTATTTAAGGCCGATACTGATTAGACTAAACGATCCCTGATATGTTCCGCTGATATTCTTAGAGCCAATATTTCTTTTTCTTCCTGCATTATAGAAATGACAGCATAATAACAATTGTTCAACATATCTCAATCTAAACAAAGAAGGAACCTATTAACAAATCAAACAAAGCATGGATAGCAAATAAAAGGACACACAATGCATTCTCTTCACGTGATCTAAAGGCCTCGCTGCTGAATGCTTGTATCTGCCAATAAAGGTACAGGAAAAAAAACACTAACATCTGCTAAAAACATCGGCCGGCCGATGTATCGGTCTATCTCTAATGTAAGGTACTATGTTACAAATATCTCACCCAGCCACAAAACAATAAATGTATACTTTTGATTTAAGAACGGCAGCTAAATTAGCTGTAGGGGAATTTTGATTTTTTTTGACCAAGAACAGCACAAAATTCATTCCTGAGATCTCTGTTACTAGAACTGTTTCAAAGCAATATATGCATAAAAAGAAATCCTTAACTACAGCAACGGATGGTAATTTGTGATATTTAAAAAATAATAATATAAAAGCAGTAGCAGTAGCAACACAGGTTTAAAATAAAAACTCATGTGACTAATCATGTTACTGAGATCAACATTTTTTAACTTGATTTTAATATCATGAAAGAGAGTCAGATAGAGACGAAAACTAACTGAACTCACAAAACAGAACTTCTTCACCAGCATCTTAGTATTGTGGTCTCTTTTTGGTGTCCCTTTGTCTCATTAAGTCATGAAATGAATAAATTAAAATGATGAAAAAAAAAAAATAAACCTCAGCCTTAAGTTAATCTGGCCAAATCACATCTATTACGGTTAGCCATACTGCCTCCAACACTCCCACACCTCCCACCAACTTTCTTGGCTCTCAATATTCCTGAGAGAGGACTGAGGGGAGATGCTGGCATAAATAAACACGAAGACGAATGGCAAACATTATGATTTATGAAAAACACATCTGAATTAATCAAAACAATTACAATATATATGGTAATTGGAATTTACAGTTGTGCTTGACAGTTTACACGCCCTCCTTTTAACGATAATGATACATTCAGACTAGCAATTCAAATTACAAAGTAATAATAAATAAAAATGAACTAAATGATAATAGAGGAAAATAAAATCTAGATTTGTTTATTTTAATTTAAGAAAATGAATCTAAAAGACTAATTAAAGTATCTTGCTCATTAACAGCCAACCAACATCCCTATCAACAGGTGCTGAACATTTCCTGAACATCACAGAAAACGCCGCATTCAGTTATTATAAGTGTTTCTCAACAGTATTTCAGTTCAGGAGTTGCATCAAGCTAGTTTACTTGTTTTATTTCTCAATATTTATGTATATTCAAAACTCATGTCATGATTTCTGTTTTTTATTATTTTATTTATTATTACTTTTGTCAATTTCTAATTATTTTACTGTTTTTTTTTTCTGTCTTTAATTGAAGGGTATGTAAACTTTCAAGCACAACTGTACTTTATGTTGAGAAATATTTCATCTTTATAGATACATTTTTACGCTTAGTAGTTATTATTGAACCTTTTATCAAACGTGAGGTATAAAACAACTAAAGAACAGACATCACAGAAGTTCTTATTTTATGCAAAAATATGCAAATGCAATTTTTTTTTTCAATGTATCTGCAAGCACAACTCCTGTTTCTGTGTGCCACAGGAGAATCTCTGTATTTCTATGAATTGGAGAACCATACAGTGTTTGGCCTTCCCCTAAACCATGGAAACAGCTCTGACCCCTGCCCTTTAGAAAATGAGGAAAGGAGTTCAGTCCTATTCTTTTTCTGTTTTGCTTAGATTCTAAGAATTAAAAAAAAAACACAAATAAAGAGAATACACAATCATGGAGGACGTTCTGATAAACTAACAAAGAAACAATATCTCTTTAAATATGGAGCTATACTGCAATGACCTCAACTCTATTTCCTTCCGATTCTAAAATACCTATTTGCACCCCAGCTTTCCAAAACGTGGTTCAGAAACATCTTTAAATACACAAAGCTTTGTGTTTCAATCAAGTAGCTCGCATTGAAAAGCAAACTGTTCTTAGAGGCAACATGTCAACTCTGAAGCTGCAGAAAAGCTGAACATTTTTCATTTAATTCCTTTTCTTTCCCAGATATAATGCCAGTTCACAACGGTGCACTTTACAAAGGCAAAATAAATAGCTTTATAGTGCATTCATTCCAACCATATGACATATCAGATCTGACTGCCTGTTAAGACCAGTTGATAAGGACACTGCAGAAAGTCTCGCTATGTCTCTTTAAGTGGATGGACATAGTTCAACCGTTTAATTTTGGTGGGTACTAGAACATATAAATTGATGTATGTCAGCACCAAAAAGATCACATCTGACTCACCAAAGGTAAACAGACAAGTTGTACACTTCACAAAGACAACCATAATCATGCAAATCATTTTCTTTAAGCTAAGGTATGTGAGCTTTAGTCAATTAGTGGGCAAACTACTTAGCAGTATTTAAAAGGCTCCTAATTGTTCCTCATATTTGGTGCAATCTGTCCTATAACGACAGAAACATGCTGACTTATCTGAACATAAAGCAAACATTTTAAGGAAAGGTTTTGGTTAAGATTGTTTTCTTCTCCAGTAAGTTATAACGAAAAACTTTACAATTGACTTTTAGCACAATTGAAAAAATTGTATTTGTGATGTGAAATATTTCATCCTTACTATTGATAAAGCCTGTGCAAGCTACACTTTCCCTTGTAGCTACGGGCTGTAAAATCTGCAGTAAATGAGGGAATCAGACATGTATGGATATAGTTCTCAGTTATGTGATCTGTGGGCATGTGAGGAGGGATTTGAGCTAATTTCTATAAAACAAACCCAGTCTAATGTGAGCATGATCTTCTCAAATTTAAAATGGAATTAAACGATTATAAAGAGTAAGCCAGCTGTAATTATGCATAGAAAAGACAATACATCATTAAGAAAAGGTATTGATTTGTGTTGTTTTTTTTTATATACAATGTTGGTTTGTAGTAACGGTTGTCAAAGGTTTTATTTAAGGTGGCTAATATTTAAAAGGAAAAATCAATTATGGGCAGATGGGTAAGACCAAAAACATGATTAAAAATCTGAAACTGAGCAAACAGTGCAGTGCACATAACTGCTTAATACTTTTTAATGCAAGATGCAATAAAACTGGATTAATCCTCACTCCCTGCTACAAAACAAACACAAATTAACCATGAATCACAATAATGTGAAATAAATCATTTTTTGGAAATCCACTTTACGCACTGACATCTTTAGGAATTTGTAAAATCGGAGCTTATGCTTGGTTTGGGGTGCATGCATACTTATGAAATGCCTACAACTCACCCTCAGCTCCTTGAAGAAGATGCAACTCCGAGCCCACTCCACTATGGAGAAGAGGGTCTGATCCGCCATGCGGCACATCAGGCTGAAGGTGCTGGGTTTGTCAGTTCGGCCCCTTCCGCTCTGCTCCTGCTGCAGATGAGCCACAATCTTGTTTTGCACCACCAACTCGTCTGGGTCGCAGCTGAGCAGCTCCAGCACCAGAGGTGGCAGGCTGGGCGGCTGTGGAGAGGCTGAGGGGTACACCTCTGGATATGGGTATCCTGTAATGGATTCGGGGGAGCTGGTGTAGTCAGGGCACTCAGCTTTAATTGCCCTGTTGGGGAATGCTGTGTACTGATACTGTGGTGTAATGGGAACATGAGACTGCATGGTCATGCCCAGTGATGTAGGTCCATAGAGGTTGGCCTCGTAGTCTGTGGAGTTGATGGAGATCGGAGTGGAGGGCAGCAGACTTTTAGAGATGGTGGGCAGAGCGTGTAGGGTACCAGTAAAGCTGTAGTCAGTCTGCATAGGGGAGGCTGGTGGAGGGACTGAGGTCTCCATCTTGAACCCATTGGATCGTATCAAAGCCTTTTTCTGCTGCTTTAAGGCCCTGTCTCTCTTGTACATGGGGCCAAACTTGTTCCTCCCACCACGCATGCGATCTGCACGCACAGCTACAAGATACAAGAGGCAAAAATCGATTTCCAGGCAAACTTATTTTTTTTTCTGCACCCATTTTTTTTTATTAACATTTATTTAAAAAAAAAATCTAAAAGCTTCTTTTTCAGCTGCATCTAAAGTTGTTCTCATTGAGTAAATAAGAGACATGTTGGTCCTCCTTGCTTCCCTTTTAGGGCTAAGAAGAATCCCCTTAGAGTCTGTGAGCAGCTCAACTCCTTCTTCCCTGGGGAGTCTCCAGAGTTTTATCAGTAAGTCAAAGAATGTGTGGCTTTTTTTCCACTATGGAAGCAGGTGCTTTTCTTTGGACTGCTGTCTGGGAAATAATCTCATCCAATATGTGTGTGGGGGGGTGTGTGTGTGGGATTTTGGTGTGTCTGGAGGAAATAGCCAAAGCCACCAAGCAATAAATTAGGTCCAAAGAATTTCACTAACATTAGTCTAAACAATCTATGGCAAAATTGCATTACTGGAATTATTGTTGCAGTTTTTAACAATATAATAATTATTTTTAAGCAATAAATATTAAACACGTTTTTTTTTCTTATTTTTCGTCTTAAAAACTTAAACCTAAACAAGGGCATTAATGATACCCGTACCTTCTAGGCGCATCCCGACGCTGAGGCATTTTTGAAAGCGGCAGAATGGACACCTCTTCCTCTGGGTCTTGTCTATCTTACACTCCTGGTTTTCCGCACATGTGTACCTCTTGTTATTCTGCACCGTCCGTTTAAAGAAGCCCTGAACACAGACGGCAAAGGAAAATCAGCGGACAGCACCAAACACTGAAGCGCATAAACAGCAGAACATGCAACATGCAAAATAAACAGTCTTGTGAAGATTATGGCACATTTAAACAGTATCAACATTTTCAGATTTTATTATTATATAAAATGCGTTGTTTAAAAACAGTACACCCAGACCAGAGAGCAAATTTACTGCAGAAAAAATGTGAGGATCCCCGTGCTCCATATCAGTGAATTAGAGGCATCATGCAGAGCCCGGCTCAGGCCAGCGCGCTGTGGACTGAGGGTGGGATGTTGTTACCTTGCAGCTTTCGCAGGTGAGCAGACCATAGTGATATCCTGACACTTTGTCTCCGCACACAGGACACAGCTCGTCCAGGTCATCGTCGTATGTGTATTCCATCACCTTTAAAGTCACGCCTGGTGTTGCCGAACACATAAAAACCAAAATATATTCAGTTCAACTAGAAAGAAAAGCTGGACTTTTGAATATGCGCGTACATATATATATACATATATTATATATATATATGTGTGTGTGTGTGTGTGTGTGTGTGTGTGTGTGTGTGTGTGT